TCAGCTTCTGCGGGTCCCAGTTGTGTGGGTGATATGCCGTGCACTTTGGGGGAGTGTGTGTGTCGGGGGCTGTGGGAGGGAATTCGTGGCTGCGGACCCAGAATTACTTTTATCTCTCCACCTGCGCATCTACATTCAGTTCGAGCGGTCTGGTCTGGGCACTCCAGCCGGCTGCTGTGTCCTCAGCGGACGGCCAGCGGGGTGATGCTAGAAAGACACGGAAGCTGAATGATCGAGCAGCGGGGGCACGTCCCAAAGCCAAATTCACGGGATGGTTCTCAACAGGATTTTCACAGATTCTGGGCTCATAAGACTTAAAATCGTGGGAACTTTTCCTATTATTTTCTTTTCCTCGCGTTAACTTTTTAGGAAGTTACGATGGAGGAAATTACACTAGATTTTAAGCACTTAAGCAACGAACCCTTTTTCTTTCGTTTTTACTATTCTTCGTTTTTCTTTCTTTTTGCTTTAGTTTTCTTTACTTTTAGTGGAATGGGTTATTATTGTTGCTATTCAAGGTCTGGTAATATAATACTTAAAATAACCTTCCAGATAAGTGTCTAATACCATAGCACAATGACTTTTTCTAGCGCTCTCATTACCGAAGCGTGTGTTGCTCAGCTTAACGTGGTGTGAGTTCTGTCCCTTAGTGGCGGGAGAAGGTGCAAGCTGTCTCATTTGAAAGGGCTTGTGCTGACCTATATTACAGAAAGTCAAACCAGTAAGGCAAGGCTTCACAATAAAACCATGATGCAATTTTGAAATATCAATTGGTATCATGCTGAACGCTCAGAGAAAAAAAAAAATCACTGATGCTGAAAGGCAACAAAGAGGTAGGCTGGCGAAATTGTAACAGAACTACTGAGAAAGTTATGTATTTCATTGACAATCCTACATTTCAAATAAAAAGGGCTGACTGTAGTGTAGAATTGTCACTGATTAAAAGCAGAGAAAATGGTTTTACTCTGGTATGTCTATTCAGTAATCAAAATAGAAACAATACACCCTAAATTTGAAATTGTAGCCAAGAAACAACCCAGAGGAAAGCACAGGCTTAAATAAATAGGCAGAATAAACTCTTTCAAGCCTTGGGTAAAGCTAACACATTGGCCCTTCTAACCATGCCTCCTACATAGAGGATTAATTTAGAAGTGTTCAGGGATCTTTTGGTATTTTTCCTGGGATGCTGAAAGATCTGCTATTGCAAGAATGTTTTTTTTTCTTGTTAATAAACTTAAAAATTTTGTAACACTTTCAGATTCAAAGAAAAATTTCAAAGATAGTGGAGAGTTCCCATGTACACCACACCCACTTTCCTCTAGTATCATTTTGCTAATTAGTATAATACATTTGTCACAATTAAACAACCAGTATTGACACATTATTACTACCTGAAATCCACACCTTGTTCAGATTTCCTTCATTCTTCCCTAATGTTCTTTTTCTGTTCCTGGATTCCATCCAGGACTCTCCATTACATTTAGCCATCGTGTATGCTTGGGTACCTCTTAGCCTGTGACAGTTTCTCAGACTTCCCTTGTTTTTTATTAACTTAATGGGTTTGGGAATATTGGCGGAAATGTTTTGTGGACTCTCCCTCAATTGGTATTTCTCTGATGTTTTTCTCATGTTTTGACTGGGTTTATGGGTTTTTTTGGAGGAAGATCACCAAGGCAAAGTATCATTTTCGTCACATCTTATCAAAGGTACATACTATGACTGTGACTTATCACTGTTGATGTTAATCTTTAGTATCTGGTTGAGGTGATGTATGCTAGGTATCTCCATGGGTTACATTCCCCCCTCCCACCCACTCCCCACACACTGTATTTTTGGTGAAGGAAGTCACTATGTACAACACACTTAAGGAAGAGGAGTTATGCTCCATCTCCTTGAGAGTGGAGTATCTCCATAAATTATTTGGAATTCTTCTACTTGAGAGATGTCTCTACCCCCTCCTCCATTCATTCATTCATTCATTGATTCATTATTCCATTCATTTTTTATATCAGTGTAAGGTCATCAACATTTATTTTATACTTTGGATCATAGTCCAATACTATTTTGTTTTAGATTCTTGAGCTTTGGCCATTGAGGGTTCTTTCAGTTGGTTCCTGTGCCCCTTTGACATTTCCTCATCATTGTGTATATATGTGTTTTGGGTTTTGCCTGTCTGTTTTTAGTACTTCCTTACCTTCTGGTACCACAAACTGCTCCAGGCTGATCTTGTATATTTCCTATTCCAGTCCTAGAATCAGCTATGGCTCCAAGGAGCCCTGGTTCCTTTAACTGGAGAACAGTATTAGGAACCAAAAGCTGGGCACAAGTACATTCCTTGCTATTACAGTGTTGTTGAAAAAACAAGAATGTTCATCAAGACTAAGTTTCACCCCCAGGTCTACTTGTGATTGATCCACTCATGTTTCATGTCCAGATTAGAAACTTTATTGAAGGCTTATATATATATCAGACACTATTCCTAGGACTTTCTTTTTAAGTTCTCAACAAATGCATGAGATAGAACATGTCTTTTTTTTTTTTTAGTAGAGGTCCTGGGGATTGAACCCATGACCTTGTGCATGCTAAGCATGCACTCTACCACTGAGCTATTTCCCTCCCCCCAGATGGGGGAAGTCTTCAACATACAAATAGGAATCCTAAGGCTCAGGAAAGCTAAATTACTTGTCTAAGCCCACTTACCCAGGGTGAAAAGAGATGGAACTGGAATTTGAAAATCTGAGAATTTGTTCCATAGATAGCTGGCCTCACCCCTCTCATTTTTCTGAGTGCTTATCCCTTTTTGCCATCTTCACTCAAGAAGACAGTGATTCCTTATGCTCTAATTATATATCATCTTCTTAACATTCACCCCAAATATAACTGGACCACTCTTCTGTCTCAATCTTATTATGCCTAATATCATGTTTATTTCCATTCTTTCCCTTTACTTTTATTTGTCAACATTATTTCTTCTTAGTAGCTGAGGAGGTTGCTTTTGTTATTGTTATTGTTATTTAAACTCTGATTTCAGTGTACCTGTTGAGAAATGGGCATTTATTTGTGTGTTTACTTGAATTCTATTTTTCTTTCCCACTAAAATAGAAACTCCACGAGGGAAGAAATTTCCTGATGTTTGCTCACCAGTGTATGACCCGGGCTGAGCAAAGTGCTTGGTTAATAGTACATGTAAATATATACCTGTCGATTAAATGGAAAGGGGATGAGGTGAAGCCAGTGGAAGAAATGGATGGATAGAATTAATGATGGCAATGTTTATCATGAAGCCCTAACTTATTCTAAGTAGGTAAGACATCAGATTTCTCGGAGGTGATATTTGAGCAAAGGAATTGAATGTGAATGACTGCAGTGTGTTGTTCGTGGCAATACACAACTCGTAGCAGGTGGTTCTCAGATCTAGACTGGAACCCAAGCCAGGCCACTTGGCCCAAGTCTGTAATTTCTCAACTGATAAGGATGGT